TTTCCAGAGGGTATCACAGGGCATCGGGTTGAACCCATCCCATACCGCGCCTCCTGCGACAGCCCAGTCCTCCCACCATTTTTCGCGGAAGACGCTCATGTCCTGTGGCGAGGGCAGTGAACACAACTGAAAAATAAATACATTAGTAAAAGTCCACTTCTAAGTGGATATATAACCAAATTATACCCCAGTTATATATATATATATATATATGTAATATCTATATATAGATATATATATATATATAATATCTCTATATGTATATATATATAATATTATATATATATATAATATTATATATATATTATATATATACATATATCTGATATCCCCTGATAGTATATATATATATATGGGAGATCACCAGGGGTTATGAACCACTTCCTAACTGGGATCCACATCCAAGTACTATAAATATATTGTACCAATGGATGCGGGGGCTGTACACCCTGAAACATAGAAAATCATAGACATAGTGTTGGATTTCAATTTACATAAGTACCATGACCCTCAAAGTACCCCTCAGGATGGCCAAAATCAACAAACAGTCGAGGTTTTTGCAACTACGAAGCGAGTTGCAAGGGTCATTTTGAGGGGTAAAAGGAAAAGTCCAGGGATTTGCTATAATTCTCCTGGATTTTTTGCAAAATTCACAAAGCTTTGATTTGTAGCTGCAACTTCTCTCCATGCTTCTATTGTACGAGTAGCATGGATTTCGCTTGTTGGATTCTGAAAGGTGAACACGGATCCAGCTACCAACGAAAGTTCAGTCAAGGTCAACAGAATCAGCTCTACTGCTTAGAGGCTTTCAACCCCCCATGGGGAATATGTATATATATATAATATATATATATACATAAGCTAATTAGACCATCTCATTGGTATCGGAAAAAACACACACAAGCCACCAACCAGGTGGAGATATGAAGGATTCCCATTCTACCAGGTACTTTGCTGCAGAAATCCTGCATCTTTTTGGTGTTTTCCATACCAAACAGAGCCATCTTATACCTTCTCGTGTTATGTTCTTTTTTCTGGCCAAATAGCAAAGACATGTTCAGCTGGAATATACAGTATATATATATATATTATATGTATATATATATAGTATTCTATGATTCATGGCTAAACAATAATCCGGAAAACCGACCCTTTACCCAGTTTTTTGTTGCAAAGAACTGCTGTTCGAATCCACCTCTCGTGGTGCTTCAACCCTTCAACCCCCTTTCCTAGAAACGATTTCCCAATTTCACGAAAAAAATCTCCAGTCGCTTTATAGAGCCTAAAGTTATGTCTACATATCTTTCCTTTATCCATCAAACATGCAACATCTAGATATCATTTCACCAAAACTGACCATATCAAATATTAATCCGCCGACTTTCCATGCAATTGCTCTATCAAAAAACAAAACATCGAACACCTGTCGCTAAAAACAGGTAGCGCGCTCCGCTCCTTAGCGTCATCGCGGCTGCACAAACGACACCAATGCTTGAAGTGCCACAAACCCCCCACGTGCCCCTCGAAGTTGGATTGCGTGCCACGGCCAAATCTGGGAAAACGGGTGCCATTTCAACAACGGTCAAATCTAATGAGAAGGAGAGACCACGGCATTTTTTTTCATCTGGGGTATCATCAAAAAAAGGGCTACCAACAAGAACAAATGGGAGTTAAGGGGTTATCAGTCACAATCAAACTATTATTTGGGATTTTGTTAAACTCACTGGGGAAATACCTCTGAGGCTAGCCTTAAACTTTCTTGAAACACATGGGATGAGTTAAATTTGGCGTGCCTAAAAATGGATGGTTTAATTGAATGCTACAAATAACCGAAATCTGCTGCCCCGGCCTTATCTTCTGACCAATACCCAACTAATGAGCAGTGCAACCGGCAGAAATGGTGATGTCTAACCACCAAAGGGATCAAAGCATCAAACATCGTCAAATATTGGGGTAGATTAACCAGCAAACAGTGACAAACATCAATCGGGCTAACAAAACAAAAACTCAGCTATCAAATCCAAATATAGGCATTCTATCATTGAACCTCATGCTGATTCAAACATTAAAAACATGTTTTTTAATGAGGTGTTCACATAGCTTTACGCCATGTTTGCGCGTCTGTGCACAACCCACAATTAGGGGTCACAAAATGTATCACAAGATGTCACAAGTTTGTTGCTGGATGACTTTTGGGCATCTTATGCCACCTTGACCCCCCAAAAAATGCCGAAAATACGTAAGGTACTATGGCGCATTTATGCAGGTAGGCATACCTGCATGTTCTTTCTCGTTTCCTAAGCTGCAAAAAGGTTCCTTGATCATTGATGTCACCACAGACTCATGGAAAATGAAAAACACATCTTCCCCACTGTGATATATCTGGCAGCATCCTCTCAAACCTGCTGTAGAAATGTCCGTTTCTGTTCAGTTCTTCATCTCTATTCCATAAATCTACTGAAGGCCATGAAGTAGTTTCTAGCCACGTCAAACTTTAATAACCACAAGAAGTCCTGTTTTGGCATAGAGACTGGGACAAGTCATACATCCATTTTCCGGGGTCACCACTGGGATGTCTCACCGGTGTTATCACCGAGAGGCTCACTGCAAATGATACAACCATCCATCCCGATATGACGTGCTTCCTTGGTGAATACAGCACCAACCAATGCGGATATAATGCGGATAGGGGACATAGTTGGGTATTCATATAATAAGAACGTATACACATATATATATATATAAATAAATAAATATACATTGTAACTTTCTAATTCGCGCGTGAATATATACATAATATATATATGTGTATATATATGCATAATTATGTATATATATATATATATATATGAGTATATATATGTATGTATGTATGTATGTATGTGTGTATGTATATGTATATGTATATGTATGTATATATATGTATGTATATGTATGTATGTATATATATGTATGTATATAAATATATATGTATGTATATAATTATATATATATATGAGTTGTTGTCCAGTCACCAGCCCATGAATGCCACATGCAACATCCATCATTTCCCTGAAACATTTACAATAACATGCATTCAGTGGAGGATACCGTCACAACATGCATCAACATAAATGCCCCCGATCACAGCTCCTCTTGCCAAATGGGTTTTGTCACAAGTTGGTGAAGGAAACTTGCAGAAAATCAGAGAAGGCTGCATGCATTTTTCCTGGGGCCCCAAAGGGCATGTGCATGACCCTATGCATGTTCTTTTTGGTTGGCTTGAATCATATGCATGGCCCTATGCCCTATGCACAATTTCCTTATCCGCTTTGGGGCCCCAAAACTATATGCATTTCCAGTCTGCAAATGTTATGCATTTTTGAATATATTGCTGGGGTACCCCTTGTGCCTAACAACAACTCATAAATATATAATATTAATATTGATATTATACAAAAAAGAGACCCATGTGAACTAGGACTTCTCCCAACCATGATCAGGACCCAACTTCCCATCCATAATCTCAACACCGTTTTGCCTCTTGTAGGTCATGTTGAATCCAATCCACTGCGCGCCCGCATCAAAGTGCAGGTAGGCACCACGCATGCTTTCAGCAGCTTCCCAAAGAGAATCAGTGATTTGTTATGTTTCAAAGGTTCTGTTTGAAACAATTTTTCAGCAAAGGTCCCATCATGTTGGTGATTTTGCTGCATAGCATGTTCACCCCAAAACGTATAGACCATTAAAGATCCTACTGGCTATTGCTCAGCTTGACTCTTCAGGCTGCACAGATTCATCGGCCAATGCAGCAACCGCATCATTGCCTTTCTTCTTTGCCTTAGCTAATGGACCACTACTTTGGGAAAACAAATTTTGTGAACCAAAGGACATACCATTTTTGGCTCCCTATCCACAAAAAAAAACCTACTCCAAATAGAGGAAAGAAACTTCCTCCTTCGTAGCTCCTGCACGCTTTGCCGCGTGATAGGCCCGGGAATATACCTCAGAGTAAGCTGAACAATTTAGGCATATAACTTATAACCATATCCCAGATATATAAATCCAACATATGAAGTTCCACAGCAATGTGCTACGTCTAAAGGATTCAAAGTGGGCATGGCTTTTTGCAATACCCCAAAAATGAAATTTGATTTGATGTCTTTTGGGGTTCATCATTTTATCACCTGACAAGCTGCATTGTTCCAATCCTGTTTCAATGCCCTGGTCGATGGTGCACTTTGTCGCGAAGTCCTTGAAGACGCCTGGCAAGCGGAAGGTTAGGGCAGGGTGGCTTATAGAGTAGACGGGAATTCGGGGCATGTGCCCTTTGTGTGGATTATGAAACACTTTTTGTATAATAACTATACTGTGTATCTGTGTATTTGCAACCATACCTCACTAATAATACCTCCAAAAATCTTAAAAAAAGTAAGATTCCCTGGCCTTTGGCTTCGCCGCGGCCTTTGGCTTCCCCGCGGCCTTTGCCTTCGACTTGGATGAACAAGCCTTGGGCTTCGCAATCTTTCCTTTGCACTTTGCCTTTGGGGTAGGCTTCGCTTTTGGCTTTGACTCGGCCTTAGGGGGACGGCCCCTTTTCTTGGGCAAAGCCTTTGGTTCCATCGGGACATGATCACCCGAATCAAGAGCAACGGAATCACCAGGCAATCGATCATGCATAGGGCTGGCTTGCGATGCCAACCTCAGAGACTGCAAAAGTTTAGTGGGGCCTAAAGAACATAGATGTGCCAAAATATTTTTTGGTTTTCTTGTGGTCATGGATTGGATTGAAGATAGAGTAAGTATTTCACATGAACGCAAACCAATCAAACAAACAAAAACTGATCAAATCCTCAAATGGGTGGCAACGCGCGTAGGTCACAGGGAGTGCCTTTCCCAGACTCATCAAGATTCAATGACCTTGTGGGTGCACTAAAGGGATCAATACTGTATTGGAAATGATTGTGTTTTAGATTTATGACATAATCAAAAGACCTGAAATTCATAGTGATGACCATGGCTTAAAATAATATTTGGGGGGCCGAAAATTTGTGATAGCTGCCAAAATACTTATCAGACTCAGGCTGCACCGGAATCTCAGGTTCCCCATCAGAGACCGTCATGGCCCCGGGGGTCCCAAACTCACCTTCCTTCCTTGGGCACGCTGGGGACTTTTCCATCTCAAATGACTCAAGTTGCCTATCCGGGAAGACTTCGCACTTGAAAGCGGGACTGTAGGTATCCTCAATTGTCTGGATTTCGCCCACAGCATCCTTAGTAGCAAGACTCTTTGGGGATAGCTCCTCATCAGACGGACAACCCGTGGGAAAGTAAGGAAGGCCATCGGGAGGTAAGTCATTGCCACTGCAACCCGTGATGCCATTGTGGAACACATCCCCATAGACATCAGCAATGACACTGATCCCATCTGTGTAGCGGGTCTGGGCATTGGGACTCAAGGAGTCATACAAAGGAGCGTCCGAGTTGGCCCCCATAGAGTAGCCCGGGGAAGCATCCACCATCTTCTCCTAAATGGATTTCAAATGTTTGACAAACCCAATTTATAGCATAACGTTTTATGGTTTACTTGTAGGCAAGATGCACCCATAAACATAACCAAAAAAATGTCATAAGTGGATTTTGGGATTGAATGTTCAGGGTTACCTTCTGTGGCCCCTTGAGGAAATCATGTGGCAAACCTGGTGGAAGCACTGGCCTGGCCTGGCATTTGCGCTTCATTGCGAGAGCCTCGGCTGCATCTGCCATCTCGATGCTCTTGAGCAAGTCCTCATCCAGAGGTGTCATACGGCGAAGGGTCGGGCGATCAGGGCTGTCGATCTGGGTATCAGCAACCTCATCATCATCATCACGGCAATTTTCCTCAGAGGATTCCACTGCGAAATCACCATCATTACGCTTGTTGCCCTTTCTGGTGCTCTTCTTTGTCTTCTTGTCAGTCTTATCTTTCTTGCTGGGCTTTGCCTTGCTGTCTCGGCTCTTTCCAGCTGGTTTCTTGCGAACAGGTTGCTCATCAGAATCTACTGGGGGGTCTCCTTCTTCATCATCTTCAGGTCCATTGGGCCCAAACAAAGAAACTAGTTCCTGTTCAGCATCGACCTTCTTCTTGTCCTTCTTGGAGTCTTTCTTCTCATCTTTCTCCTTGTCTTCTTTTCTCCTACGTTTGGTATCTTTGTCAGCTCTGTTCTTATCATCTTTGTCCTTCTTCTTCTTCTTCGTTCCTTTCTCATCCTGGGTCTTGTCAGAACCAGACGGGGATTCCGAAGACTTCAGCTCTACACGTTGAAGGCCAGAACATCCTTGGAACAACAGATGGGGAAGCGGAAAGTAGCACTACAAAAGGGCAGGGAAACAGGACTACTACATGCTACTACCCTGCAAAAAATAGATAAAATGCATGCAGGTACCAATCTAGAAACCTGAAGGGGCTCCAATGGATGAACTGGATTGCCCTGTGTTCTGGGAAGCAACAGGGGTGCTCATGTACTTGGCATAGTCTTTCACATCAAACGCCTTGCTCACTGTGAAACTCTGGGAGGGTTCCACCTCTTCGACATCAGATGAAGACATGCGGGGCTGAATGGCCCAGACCTAAACTGACCAAGTGGAACTGTTGAGCCTGTGCGGACCAAGGACAGTTCTGACATGTCACAGCCTGTCTCAATAGGCGGACTGGGTGTGCACTGGAGCTGTTTTCTTGCAGGATCAGGTTGCCAACTGATTTGAAACATTATAACCATAATAGCTTCATCTTCATAACATAATAGGATATTATAAGAAGTAAACAACCAAATTGTGGTTCACCCCATTCGGGTAACTTCCCCACCAAAAGAGGTATAAAATAGTGTTTTACATCCAAGTTGGACCTGCTATGTGATTTTTCCCACCAACTTGATTGCCGGGTCCTTTGCCGTGTTGGGAACATAGTTTCCAGCTGGATTAGCTGCAAAGTCACAGCAGAAAGGACAGTTTTGCCCTGAAAGGACTATATTGTCTTTACGACAATAAATCCTAGCCGGCTAGCCCATACAAGAAAAAGAAGGCATCAACTGAGATTGAATTGATCAATAAAATAGTCTTTGATTCAGGACATGTAGTTGTAGAATGAAACTGTATAATCTATATAAGTTATATTTATGAATAGTAATGGGGTTATGTGTATTCAAAGCTGGTGCCTTCAACAAACCCCTCAGCTCTGGCCATGGAAAGCACAAGATAAGATGAGGTTGAAATTTCAGATTTGTTTAGGTTATTGGTTATCTATTGGAAATTGTTTTAACCAAATGATATAGGTTTTGGTGTTTGTTTTGAACATCATATGATCATATGGCCTGGCTGATCCCATTTAAAGGAGTTGGTACATCTCACCCACCTTCATCTCCAAATCGGCTGCGAGAGTAGTCACAGGTCGCACCGGCACAAGCTCAGTAGTCCCCGAAACGGATCCATCAGTTGCTCCAACTTGTAGCCTGCACGGTGCATCAGGTACATTAATCTTTGAGAATGGGATTTCATACCAGAAGGATCCAAAAGGATTTTACCACAAGGATTCACAAGGGATTTTATAGACCAAAAGGTATGTTTTACGGAGAGCTATACATTGTAAGATTATACAAAAAAATACACCATGCATGTTACAAATTACTTTACTTCGTGTGATCCCCACCATGACATTTATCGATTTGTTACTGGCAAATCTTCTGGCATTCTATCTGACATATCTTCGATCTGGCATTCTATCTGGCATATCTTCTGGCATTCTACCTGGCATATCTTCTGGCATATGTTCTGGCATATTAGTAGCTGGCATTCTATCTGGCATATCTTCTGACATCCTATCTGGCATTCTATCTGGCAAATCTTCTGGCATTCTATCTGGCAACCGTTCTGGCACTTTATCTGGCATACCTTCTGGCATTCTATTTGATATTCTATCTGGCATACCTTCTGGCATTCTATCTGGCATATTTTCTGGCATATGTTCTGGCATATCTTCTGGCATTCTATCTGGCATATCTTCTGACATCCTATCTGGCATTCTATCTGGCAAATCTTCTGGCATTCTATCTGGCAAACATTCTGGCACTTTATCTGGCATACCATCTGGCATTCTATCTGGCATATCTTCTGGCATTCTATCTGGCATATCTTCTGGCATTTTATCTGGCATATCTTCTGGCATTCTATCTGACATGCTATCTGGCGTTCTATCCGGCATATCTTCTGGCATTCTATCTGGCCGTTGAGGTCCAGCGGTGCTCACTGAGCTCGGAAGGTCCCAGGTTGAGGTCCAGCGGTGCTCACTGAGCTCGGCAGGTCCCAGGTTGAGGTCCAGCGGTGCTCACTGAGCTCGGCGGGTCCCAGGTTGAGGTCCAGCGGTGCTCACTGAGCTCGGAAGGTCCCAGGTTGAGGTCCAGCGGTGCTCACTCAACTCGGCAGGTCCCAAGTTGAGGTCCAGCGGTGCCCAGTGCGCTCAGACCCTTGCAGTTGAGGTCCAGCAGTGCCCACTGCGTGCGGAAGTTGGCGAAGAGATTGACGAAGAGTTGGCAAGGCGGAAGTGAACATGGAAGTGGAGGCAGAGGTGGTGGAGGAGAAGGAGGAGGAGGAGAAGAAGGAGTAGGAGAAGAACAACTCTCATAAAATCTAACAACCCTCACCTGGCAGGTGGAGAAATACAAACCATTTGCGGTAAACATACAATACAATATAGTATATAACATATGGTATTTCATATCTCATACATACATTTGAAGAAAACATATTATTACATAATACATGTTCATTTCATACTATATTATCATATTTGATATGTAAGCCACAAAATACAAACCATCTGTGGTAAACATACAATACAATACAGTATATAACATATGGTATTTCATATCACATACATATATTTGAAGAGAACATAGTATTATGTAATACATGTTCATTTCATAATATATTATCATATTTGATATGTAAGCGTTATATGAGGAAATGGCTATGGTCAGTTCCTACTTTCTCCTGAGAGTGTGATGGAAGCTACCTGTGGATCGCCCCGCTTGAGTCCCATGGCATGGGAGTTGGCACACAACTGAGCGACGCGGTCGCGACATGCTGTTGGGATCGAACTTCAGGTTGCTTACGGAAACGAAGCACCCCCGCATCGGAGGGTACCGGACCTGCTCTGACCTTTGGAAGCCCACCACGATGAATGGAAAGGCTTACATCAAGATTTTGGAGATTGTGGAGCTCAAGGATTTTTGCTTGTCGATTCCAGTTTAAGGGTTTCCCCCCAAACAAGGATGAATCAATTTTTCCCCGACATACCCAGTGAATTGAACATACCCTGTGGTTGGCCCAACCATCCCTCAGATTTTTGGTTTCCATCCACCACTCGCCTCAGCCGCCAGACAACTTCCAAGTTCTTGGAGCTGCGCAGCTTGGCAAGGCTCAGCTTGGCACCGAATGTTGTAGCGCTGCCAGTGGTCTGGCCAGGGCTGGGAAATAAGATCACCAATATTTCACTGTAAGTTCATTAGGGGTTCAAAACTATTTTCTTTGTATACTATCCCCAATAACCTAGCCTTCTTACGCTTCTCTTTCAAGGCATCCAGCACAAAGCACACCGGTTCGATCTGGGTAAATTGAATCCCCCCATCATCGGTCTTCCCAGAATCATGCATGGACAGCTTGACGTTGACCTCACCCAGCTGTTGCAGACTTGACATGACATCCGCCAAAGTAGTGACCTGAGGGCTGTGGACAAACAACAGACCTCCTGATGGGTTTTGATTGGTTTTAACTAAGGTATCAGAAAATCCAATATTATTTAGATTCTTAAACCACCCCCTTTCCCTTAACTAGTGATGTTGGCAGGCAAATGACCTTGTTGTAGAAATCTGCGCTCTTCACATGATCTGGGGCCCTGCGGTCAAGCTCTATGATGCATTTCTGGGTACCATCTTTGACTAAGAAGGGAAGCCAGCGGCCACTGTCGCCACAGTCACTCATGACATCACGGGCTGTGCCCTTTGAAACCCAATCCCCACTGCCAAAGCCAAAGAGTTCCGTAGATGCAAGAGCTTGGATTAGCGCTGTGTCCTGAGAGTCAGCCACAATCCCAAATTCATTCGCTTTGCGATCACAGATGAGCTTGAAATTCCCACAGGACAAAGTAATCCTCAGGGTCCCATGGCAAAATACAAACTCAAAATAAGGTTGAAGACAGTTTGATACATTTTGGGAAAGTTATTTTTCTACAGGATTGGGGGTATTGAAGAAAGAACAACTGGTGCTTCCAAATAACCTGCACTTATGTTGCTTTGTGGGGTTTGTTGGGCTCCTGTTTACTATGTCCATCTAACATAGGGGTCCTGTCTTCCATCTGGTCTTCGTGGTCACTCGGTTTCGTCGTGTCAACCTTCAAACGCTTGGCAGGCTGACCTGGCTGTGCACCATCTTCTCCCTCAAGGCATCGCTTCAAGTTGTTCTTGTTCCACCGGGCGTTGTGTTTGGTGATCAACTCCTTTGTGTCGAAGTCTGGGTTGGTGACACACCAATATTGAACCAAAGTCTCTTTCACCACCAAAGTTCCATCTGGGAGACCTACACAAACTTCATAAGCTGGTGGGTCCATGGATTGGAGTTTCTGAAGGTCATCCGTGCAAGAGCTGAACTGGGGAAATCCAGCCAAAGATAGACGGCCTTCCCGGGCCAAGCTGTAGACTTTGTTGGCGATGGCTGCAGCAACGTACTCACCCTCCTTTTTGGTGTGGCACACCGTCGCGCAGCACACCTGCTGTCCTACAGGGAATTGGGGATCACTTTTGAACTTTTGCTGTCAATTGGACATTGAATACGGCTTTTTGTTTCACCATCTAGTTGTATTTACATATTTAAAACCATACTGAACATACCCAAACAATGGCTAACCATGGCTTACCCATATCCCCAAAAAGTCTTTATTAAAGAGGATTGATTCCCAACTAATCGCATTGAAACTATATGTACTGGATCTGAAATAATGTCTATACCCATTCATGATTGAATCTGTACATTACCTGATGCCCTGACACTTAATCAAATGATGCTTTGACCTTTGGTGGATAAATTCTTGAGGGCTGAACTGTTGGAAACTGATGGCATAGGTCCTTGCACCACCCTTTGCAGGCAATGTGAGGCAGGCCAGGCATCGTACCCAAACATGTCAACCACCACTGTGTTGCCCGTTGGTGCCAGGCTCTCCACGAACTTCTCGACGAAGCTTGCTCCAGCACAATGCTGCAGGGGCAGCGGGCATGTGTCTAGAGGTGGGGTGATTGGATTCAAATCTTTACATTTTTTTCTTGACTTCATACATCCTGGAACTTACATGTGGTTATTGGGTTCAGTGGCCAGGTGTGGAAACAAAACACATCAGATAGCACCCCAACCTGTTTGAGTTCTTGGACTGGTGTGAAGCGGTCGTTGGCAGCAAAGAAGCTATCAACCTTGTCAACCTTCAGCATTTCACCCCTGGGTAGCATCGAGATCCCCTTTACAACTGCATGCTTCCAAGCTCGTGATTTGTGGTAGATGTTGTTCTTGTCGGCTGCTGTCACCAGAAGGCATGGGTAGGCCCCTTCCCGAGAACCATACACGGTGGTGTCCTCGAAGATGGCGCTGCAATTCTTCACCTGTCAAGAGGGATTCCCAAGATGATCACTCATTATTTTATAGTTCCATATTGGTGATGGGGTTGCTTAACATAAGATATGCTCTCAAGGAGAATGGAGAGGAGTTCCCATGTGGTAAAACACTCAACATACTAGTAGGGTGTGGTTGGGTTCCTACTGGTCAACATGATATCAGCTTGGGTTCCTAATAACTTATGATCATGTCATTTTGACCATGCATGACCATCCAAGGAGCCAGAAACACAGCCAAGATGATGGAGGCCGCGCTGTGGGCGCTGGAAGGTGGTCAAAAGGTATTGCCATACTATAACATAAAACGTTTTGTGGTCCCATAATATACTCTTGATTATCGAATCTATTTCATTGGGTTGGGCTAGCGCATTTTGTGGTACCAATCCAACCCCTTAGTCAAGATTCCCATTTCATGTTTTCAGGGTTTCCAGGTAATTACCCAATTATCACCGTTTAATCCACTGAAGCCCCAAAATACATTTGGAACAAGTGACCTTGAGGTTTCGGTCGGCAGCCATAAGCTGACACTGCAACTTGTAGCGATAGTCTCTCAAGATCCGCTCCGCATCAGTGGCACCTTTCTCCTCCTCATCTGTTGCATCCGGGTCCTCATCATCTCCTGGTTCAGGGGTATTGGGCTAACTCACGACAGGCCTTTTTGACAGTTTGTTATTGAAACAGATCCCAAAGTCAAAAGGAGAAAAAATCTTGGAACATATGGGGTATCGTTCCCTTTCATTACTTCAGATTCAACAAACCAATGAGTAAAATAAGAAACCGACTATTTGACAAACAAATGGTATTGAGTGCTCACTGGATGTGACCGGCTTGGCTGGCCTTCTTCTGGCTCTTCCTTTGCACCGTCAGCATTCTCTGCCTTCTCATGCCTGAAGCTTGATTGAACCATGTTTGAAGGAAACTTATTTATTCCAACCCAGGGTCTAGACAACAACAAGACTGATTAACATGAATTCATTAAGTTCTATTCCAACTCATCCTTATATACTTACTTGTAAATTACAAACCCAAATCTTAAGACTACATATCACCGACAAGTTGTTGAATAACCTAGATACTTCAATGGGCTTGAACGCAGATCACCAGCTCTGTTGGGAAGAATGATCACCCCCACGAACGTTTTGCTGTAGCTGTGGCAAAGTTGGGTCAGTGTCTCCAGGGCAAACATCAAACGTTTTCCAGAGACCACCCCACAAGAGACGAAGTTGACCCAACCAATGAGCCTTTCGCGCTCAGGGCGGCGGATGCCACTTCCAAAGCCAGTCAAAGTGCTCTGGAGCCATGGTTCAAGCTTGGCCGCAATGGTTGGGAGGTTGTCAGGATCCTCCTCACCTTCAGGGATAGATTGCTGTAAACATCAGTGCGTAGACCCTTCTCCCATTATCCAATGTGTGTTCAGTGGGTGATCTCCCGGAAAAAAGTTAAAACTTGTTTTCATTAAACATGTTTAAACTGCTTCCCCCATAAGCTTATTTTTGGACCCAAGGGAAAAAAGTCTAAAGTTTCGGTCTTGGCTGAGTAAGATTACTCAATGGGTTTCCCTCCCTGAAAAATAGAATTTGTTCATTGGGACCCAATGAAAAAATCTTATCTGTGCGTATTCACTGGGTAGTATTTTTGTCATGGCTTTGGGTCTTGAAATCTGTAATGTTTTTTTTGGGGTAAAAATAATATCTGATCTTTGGGATATCGCAATGCAAATTGATGGGCAAACAAAACTTTTGTTGTGCGCCTCCAGATCCCATGGGTTTGCTTGGCGTGACACACCAAGTAGGCATAGATTCCCCGCTGAACTGGTTCACCAGCCGCCATGCGGTAGTGTGCATTTTCTGCAGGGGTTCCATGGCAGCTGGCAGTTGGCAGTCAACCAAAGATAGAAAACATTAGATCTCAAAAGAAAAAATGGTCTTGGATGGTCTTTGCTTGGTTTGGGTATCTGTATGGACGCGCCCTTTTTAGTTCAAAACGGTTACTTGACAAAAGGGTGTGTCACTATTTTGAGACATACCATTGTGACATGAACAACTAGGAAAAAAGATCACCCATAGATCACCCTATTTGAAACGCAACGATTTCAACAGTGTCCTCTAGAGACTGGATCATGATGGTCTTGGTGCGGCTCGCATTCGCCTCAGCACTGGCCAGGAACTTTTCATGCTGAACCTGGTCGTTCTCCAGATTGGTCTGGAACAGCTGATACGCGGCAGCAAGGGATTGTTTCCGCGCATTCGCCACACTGCTTTGGGCAGTCAACACATGTTCTTCTTGAATGACTCCTGAAGCTTCCATCAAGAAGCTCAACTTCTTGTAGTCAAAGGACGCATCATTGGCTTTCATGTGAGTGCGCAGTTCGCTGTCCAATGCCCTTAGCCCAGGGCAACATGACAAAGACTGTTGATAAAATCTGAAATATTCAAGAACACCAGGACATGGCATGGCTTATCAATTTTCCAAATTTGTATAGATATGTACACTTAATGGCATATGGCTAAGGTGGTTAAATTTCCTGCCAAGGAAACCCGGTGCTTTGCAGGGGAACACATCAGTTCAAAGAAATGCACAAGGAATACTGCGGTCTGATAAATAGACACCACAGGAATACTGCGGTTTGAAAATGGGCATGTGGAATACTGCGGTTTGAAAAACGGTTCCCAAAGGAATACTGCGGTTTTTTTTTCCCTCCCTCAGGCAATACAGCGGTTTTTTTTTCCAAGCCCTGAGAAATCTTGCGGTTTACTCAAGCTCCTTAATGTTCAGAATCTTTGAAATCACAGGAATTTATAGATGATCCCAATCTTAGTGGAAAATACCGCGGAATTTAAAATCCACCGTATAGAAAGGCCTTTCCCAGGGTTAGCATGATTTTTTTGGTGGAAACAAAGCTAAGAAAAAATCATCACCACCTGCAATTTCAGGAAATAGTACATCGGATTTTAAATTCCACAGTATGATTCCTTAGCCTAAGAGATGGTCAAAAAATACAGTGTTTTAATTTTTTTGGCTGAGATTCCCCATCTCCCACATAGTCAGTATGCCATCCAGAACCTTGCCCTTGCCAAGCAAGACCTCCATCTTAGGAAAGAGCCAAGAGAAGAAGCAGGCCATCTCCATCAACTCTTGAAGCTGAGCGGCATCTCTCTGGGCCATTTTCTGGACAGGGCTGTTCTGCAAAACAATTTTATGGGGAAGACTAGCTTGGGCTTACGGCTTACAAGACTAGCTGAAATCTGCACACTTAACAAGTTAGCAGTGGCCTTATCTTAAGGATGTTGACCTGGTATAAGCACAAAAAGACAACAGTTAAGAATTGGTGACGGTGTCTTTTCGATAGACCTGTGTGGTTGGGATGGTTTAGGACCCCGAAAAGGTCCTTCTGCTTGGACGGGGCGTGCTTTGGAGCATGGCGTTCATGGTCTGCTTTCGCTCTGGTCGCCCAAGCAAGAATGGCAGTCTTCGTAATCGTCTTGCAGGGTCAAAAAGGGTCTTTGTAAACAAAATCATTAAGCAAACACATGAATATATTTTCCGAGGATTGGCTTGGACCTAGCTGCCCTTGCCTTGATCTCCTTCCAGATGCCAGCGGCTTGGCTATCGCAAACCCCGCCCGGGATGAGGTAGTCAGCATCACCCAAATTCTCAATGTTCAAAGCTGCAGGGTTCAGGGAGCCAATAAGAATTAAAGATAGTAATTTGGGCCCCAAATAGAAATTTGTTTTGGATTTTTATGTATCGTTTTGGGGTATGCAAATTATCGATTGCTATATGATGGTTTTCTAAAATGGGGTTACCACATGTTACCAGCAAATCATCCTAAATCAGATCACTTCAAGTATTGAAACATTTGATTTTGGGGATCCCCTTTTTAAGAAACTCCAGTTCATTTTGAAGGTGCCCTGCGGCCTGCATGTTCAGGCTTGTAGTTCTCATACATGGCTTTCATGATGCCAATCAAGGCATCAGGTGCCTGCAGCAAGTTGTAGATAGCCTTGCGAAGCCCTTGCTTCACCTGCCATGCCTGGGGAACCCCAGTGATTATTTTTGGGAACGGCCACCACCCAAAACTGAGCCCCTGTCAAAAATATGCGACTTGGAATACATTTGTTAAACATTAACATTCTTTGGACTGGTACCCTACCTTGGTGGTAATGCTTCGGTTGTATTCAGACACGACAGAGTTCAGAAGGTCCCGAACAGATACACCGGGAGTAGAAAGCCGCTTCACCCTCACAGCCTCCCGAAAAAGCAGAGTGATATCCAAAGCTGATGGTTTCACCTTCTCAGCGGTTCGGTTGGCCAAGCCTTGGATGGGGAGCGCAATGAAATTCCACAAAGGGTTCCATATCTAATAAACTACATACCAGACCCCCTCCAAAAAAAACAAACTTTGAAAAGCATGTTGGTTCTCCAAAACCACTTATGCAAAGCAATGGAGCTCAAGGTCTCGTAGAGGTAATGTTCTGGTAAATCAAATTTGCGGTAGTTGGCCCTCAAGTACTTCAAACTGGCGATCAATTTGCAAGCATCCGGATCATTGTTCAGGGTCTCTTCATCAATGCCCTAAGCCACAATGCAGGACAGTGAATGGTATTGGGATCTTTTATATATATATATATATGTATAATTTGACATCATATTTTGGTGAGTTCTTGAAATGGGATACCAGTTGTTTCAATACCAAAATGGTCTCATTTAGGATGATTTGAGGGTATCCCCAGTTTAAGAAAACTTTGTATGAAACTGTATTTTTTCGAATGCTTTTGGATTGGTCTTTTGGCCATGTTCTGGAAGCGGTGAGCAAAGAAAAAACTAACTAAGGCCCCTTCTGCTAGCTCTAGCAAGGCGAAGATAGATTGCACAATCAGCCCCTTGTTCTGCCCATCAACATACCCAATGCTGAACGGTTCCACGGTAGAAGTCTGCGCGTTCACCTTTGTGAATTTGACTTCCAAGGCCTCCTTTTCGCTCTGGTAATTGGAATTCACAATGGACGGGAAATGGGCTCGGAACTGCAATGTGCTGGGGTAGCGACCCAATCCATCAAACTTGCCTGTTTCGCTGAAGTCAAGCATCCATGGGCATAGGAACATGTTTTTCCTAGAAGCGCCCGGGATGTTCTTCAAGGGGACAGAGATCTCTTCCAACTCCCGAGCTACACATTCCATTGCTAGATACTTCATCATCACCTGCCCCCCAAAAAAGAAACTCGAACAAATCATGAAATAATAGAAATTTCTTTTGTGGATATATTGGATGGGTTTGGGGGCTTGGTTGGATTTTGTTTAAAACAAAATGATTGGTTTTGTTTCAACACCCCGCACCAGCATGAATTGTTTTTGTCCTTCTGCTGAACCATAGCGGTCCCAAAGCCACTTGCCCATATTCATTGACGCTGTCACCTTCAGGGTGTAAGCAGGGTCCAATGGGGAATATTACAGTATATATGTATTATGCTTTATTATAATATATTATATTTTTCTTATATATCATAACATATTATATTATGTATTATGTTATGTTATGTTATATTATATTATGTTATATTATATTTTATTATATTATATTATACTATATAATATTATACTATATTATATTATATTATATTATATTATATTGTATCGTATTGTATCATATTATATTTTATTATTTTATTTTATTATTTTATTTTATTATATATTATATTATATATGATTATATTATATTTGTATTTAAACATATATTATAGATATGAATACAGGCATTTTTGCAACGGCACCGAGGTATGTTACAGTCGATGGTTGCACCTCTTCCATCAAGCTCACAAGGCGCTGCTTCACTGATGGAGGAGACGTGGCTTGGCTGGGGCCGGGGCCATCTTCACCATCAACCTTTCAAGTCAAGGGGAAGGGTATGTTATACCAATGTCCCGCTTATAAAATAGTATTTTTTTCAGGGGCAAATAAACATATAAATTTCATAATAGAATGGCTAAACTGTACCTAGGGACTTCAGTCTTCACAGCAGGTGCTGTCATGGCACCCCGCAACCCGGTAGAACTAGAACCGAGCTAGGAGGAAGTCCCACCAAGAGCAAAAGTGGGGCTGCCAGAACCCTGTTTCAAGCAGGTTAGACCCCAAACTCTTCAAAAATCCAAACGGTTTTGATACTGAATTAAACCTAGGTGCATGTAGCCAAACCCACCAAGAAAAAAAGTGGGCCTGTCAGAAGGTTATTTCAAGGGTTGACCCAAAAATGTGTCAATGCAAATGCTCAGATACTTGGTAGAATGAAAATGGAGGTGCCCCTAGTGAAGTTCCACCAAATTGGAAAATTTTGAGAGTTGTGGGAAGACCCAAACGTTTAAATCAAATACTTCCGGCATAGCATTTTTGTCCACTGCATCATATGACAATCAGTAGTGCCGATGGAAAGTCACGCGCATGGTGTGCATGACGTGGGGTGTCGGCGTATCGAAATGGATGACTCCCTGTTGCCTGGGATGGGGACATAGCTATTAACAAACATCCTACGATTTTACCTATTAGTTTGGGTGCCCTTCAACCCTCATTAAAAGAAACATTAAAGACTCTATTTGGTCAAGATACCTTCCAACACAGGGCCCTTGTAACAAGAACTGCAATGATGGAGCTGGAACCCGGGGCTTTGCCACAGTACCAGCCAACTGTCGAAGGTAGAGTATGCCCCTCCCATATCCTGTGTAGTTCTTCTCCAAGTAAGATGCTATTTCCATCAAAGTTGTTTTCCGGTCATCATCCAAATACACAGCAACCCCGGGCACCCTGTTACTTGCAATCCGCCGTAGTGACTCCTGTGCCTGAGAAACCTCCTGCCCTGGCCAGACAAGCAAAGGGGGTTGACATAGTCGGGTGTCTGAAACGAATGCTTTGACAAGCAGGAAAACATCACTTGGAGATGCAGCAAACCTCCGGGGCATACGGTTGGAAACTTCTTCCTGAAGGTTTTGTGGCATAGCATCCCTTCGTACATAGGCAAAGCTGTGTGGAACTAATTTGTTGTCATCCATGGATCTCTTCTTGAAAGCCCCTGCTAGGGTTGTCATTTGAGGCATTGAGTCAGCCCAGTTTCGAATGTTGGTAACATATTCTGCTTCAAACAGTAGCTGCTTCTTGCCAAAGGAGTTCTTGAGTTTGCGGTTCAACATCTGTAAAATATCTTCAGGAGTTTGCCTTAAATGGCTGGAAGTTGTTACTGGGAAATTATGGAAAACATTCTTGGGAAAAACAGGAACATACACAATATGAAAACAGGAACTAAACCACCCCGTTGATCCCGACGAGGCACATTTGATCATCTCCTTCACGAATCAATCGACTCACCAATCCGAAAAAACCATCTTAGTTCATTGGCACAGGTAGGGTATGGACAACCTCAGAGGTATTTTGAAGAATTCCCAGAAGTGAAGAAAAACAATAGGAAACCATTGCCAATTCATCCTAGAGATTCCCACGTCTTCGTGCGTGTGACCAACAGTAAGATGTTCGGCAGCTGTATTGGAGAAACAGCCGCAAGTGGTTAATAACGACAAATACCTTCCAAAAATACTGTTCTTACACTCCTTGGAGCACAACCCTTTCAAAGCCCAGAAAGTTGAAGGCCGTAACAGAATAACAGCACAAACTAGCAAAAACACACACAGGAATTCTTGACTGAAAAAACATCAAGAAACCTTTGGAGTGTTGTCTGAAAAGACTTTCAGAACTGAAGGCCATGATCTCTTCGTGCTTTGTGCTAACTTCCAACATTTGTCGAGCGTTCGCGACAGAATTTCGCATGCCCAATCTGTGCCAGTAGATTGCTCAGAATCAGTAACAAAAACAAACACGCCCCAACCGTGCGCCAGAACCGCTGACAACTCGCAAGCTGGTCTTGTCCGAGTCTCCAATGCTTTGGGGGTGGTTGCAAAACAATATCGTGGTAGAAGGAACTTTGACTTATCCATGCCATCTATTATACAACATAGTATATCCCCTGCCACAGCAGAGCGCTCCCTGAACTGCCAGTAGCATTGGCGATCGCAAAAAGTTCCTGCCAAGTGACGCATGTATTTGTCACATGCCTTGGCATGCTGCTGTAGGTCCCGACAGCGCCTCATTTTGGCCTTGAGTTCGTGACATGTTGTGCATTCAGCATGGGTACTAGCCCCCCTGAATCGAAGGACCTGTCTCCAGCCACTCTCACGAAGAACCCGGAAAAAAGTTGTAGAACTTGACATTGGCCTCCTGTGAGCTATGCATTCAGCAGTGTATAACCTAAACAGGTCAGTGTAACGGCCAGGAGGTAGATACCGTCGAGGGAGATTTTCTGGGCCAGTCTGTGTCATACGAGTACTGCCACCCATAGATGTTTCCAACAAAACATCCACAAGTTTTGCTCGCCCTCCTTGAGTACTGAGAGGATTCCGAGGATCAAATTTCATCCTTGTTTCTGAATATTTTCACAACAGCAAAAATAGGGACAAAATGGTTGGAAACCCCACCTGGTTGAATTTCCCAATATCTACAGGAAAAAAGTAAATATAGAAAGTATTGGTAGTGTGGGCAAGCTTCTCATGAGGCAATGTCTCTCCAATGCTCCAGTAAAGTTTTCGGAGGAAATTCATGACAGATGCAGCTGCACGTGATTGTATTGTAGGGTTTCCTGAGAACAAAGAAACAAACTAACACAAACCAGTGAACCTAGATTTAAGATGATATAAGCAACCCCAAAGCAGTAGCAAGTAGTAAACATAAGATGGAAGCATCAAAATTTAACTATATCATTTGAGTGTCTATACTTTCTCAAGTCCTCACCCCTGAAGCGTCTCTTAGTCCGAGCCATCCTGTCTCGCCCTGTGCCCAACATCTTGATAAATGCTGCCCGGCACACTGGAATTCCTGATGCAGGGGCCCCATAGATTGCCCAAGATATTATTGTTACTATTTAACATAAATATGTTCAACACCTAGGCTTGTTTCACATCCCACCTTGTATCTGCCACTGCCCCCTGGAGCCCTTGGAGGAGTTTTCGCTGCTGGACAGCGTGGACTCATCATCAGATTGATCCTCGGCTTCATCACGTTGATGCCAGCACGGGTTCTGGAGACTCCACAGCCTTGGTTGGCAAGTGGATGGGTGAACCCTGATTGTAAAGAAATTTGCTTGGGAACTGTTTGGGGTAACCTTTTTGGCATTAATTCCAAGTGGGAAATATGGAATGGGAAAATATATGGAAAAAGAAGATTTATATAGCTACAGGCAGGTAACAAGCAGTCCTGAGCACCTTTGGTCAGGCTCCAAAACGCAATGCAAACAGAAAGGATTTTGAAACTGACTCGTCGGTGGCATTTCCGGTTGCATTGGCAAGCCCCCTGTGTTAATACCATCTTAATTCTTTCAGGGTCTTGGCCATTTTTTCTGGTCGCCTCACCTTTCCCGGTTTGTTCTACCTCCATACTGGTCAGCTGGTTCAATGTCAAACTTCTGGAAAAGTCTAAACAGCCTTGAGAAAGGGTAGCGTCACCACTTTCGCTCTCCGAGCCCGAGCTATCCAAGGATCGGCCAGAGTGACCGCTGGAGCTGCCACGGGAACTTGAACTGGAAGAAGTTGCTTCATACCGCTTTAGGTTGTGCATGGCAGCAAGGAAGCCCACAAGGTCCAATATATTGGAATTGTTCTTTCAAACAATATCCTAAAAATAGACTTGGTGACAAATGTTTGGAACAATCTGGTCACATCAAGGGCTTGATCTTATTGGTCTCTGTCTTAAGGAATCCTGCCATCAATAATTTTTTGATGCTTGAGGTTGGAGAAACGATAGGCTGGATCTTGCTGTGGGGCAAATGGTAGGAAAGCATGTTTCATAATTTCAAAGCAATGGAACCCCATGCAGGCTGCTTTTTTTGCCCTCGCAAAGCAGGTATCCCCAGAAGGTCGCTTGTTTGCAACCACCCCCATGTAAAAGTTCAAGTGGCATCACTTGGTTTCCTTTGCTCTTACTTGGGTGTTCCACTTGCTGCCATCAACACAAGCAAACCCGCAACACCAAGCGGCTCCAATTGCGCGAACAGCCATCGCCTGAGCGCTGCGACAGTGAAAATCCCAGCCATGAAATGACCCGGGGGCAGTGACCAGGGTGGACCCCAAAACCCCAAAACAGAAGGTGGTTCCCTTTGCTTGGCAAGGGGCGTTTCCTGCCAGGTCCTCAATTTCCTAAGCTGGTGGAGGCACCAAGCCGATATCAATGACATTACCCATACAAATATTTTTTTGGGGGGAGCTACAATAAAAGGATGTGTTTTAAACTTCCCCTTAAGTTTGTTTCAAAATATGACCAAATTAGTTTTCAACGTTTAGGCAAAGAGTCTCTGGCCGACAGGGTGGATAGGTCCATGCGGTCCACTGGGAAACCCATCACCATGAACTTCTCAGTTGGGACTAAGAGTCGGTCACGAGAAAGATCATAGAACAACCCCTTAGGAGTTATGCATGGAATAATCCCAGGCTTCTTCACTCGCATGCGGTCGATTTGTTGGGACACGTTGATCACATCCTTCAACCCGGAAGCCTTGTAGATTTGCGCAGCCTGGGATGTGGGCATTGGAACGAAAAAACATGTTCTTTTGCAAGGACCTTTTCTTGTAATTCATACTTCCAAAAAAACCATGTAATATTGGGTGAAAAATTGAACCTATTTTTGGAAAGTCTCATGAACTGGTCGCTGTTGCTTCAGAACACGCAGTGCTTTGGGTGCCGGGTGTAGTGTGGTCACCTATTATGGGCCGGCATGTCTCTCCAGCAGTACCCCTTTTTTTCAATTTAGGATTTGTAACTTCAACAGGACAGAACTGGCCAACAAAAACCGAAACCAACGACTAATACCCTGCCTTCAAGGCCTTCATCATTCGCATATTCTTGCCAATCCACTTGGGTTTTTTGGGTACAGGATTGGATGGGTTCAAATCTCGAAACTCCCCAATTCTTCCCTTGCTCCTCCGGGTCTCATCTGCCAGAACTAATGGATGGTCATCCTCGAACAAGATACCATTCCTGGGAAGGGTTTGAATATAAGGGGTCCCCGGTTCTAGGATGCATATACCCAAAAATCCCAAAGCATAATCAAAAGATCTAGGAGAAAAAACACATAAACCATGTTGAACAAGTTTCCGGGAACAGGTTCTTCCCTTATACTCAGCATAGATGTTTTGCAGGGTTCGGTTCAGAAGGGATTGGAAGCGGCCATGGGAAGTTACCTTTGCAACATCGCGTCTCAACAAGAAAAAGTAGACACGGGTGCGACTCTGAATATCACCCAGCTTTGTGACATTGATGTTCAATGTACCAATCCAGTAGTCCGATGCAAAGCGCTTAATGTAGGACATCACTTCCTCCCAAACTTGATAGATGCCCAGCACATTCTCAAGGATGATTAGTAAAGGAAGCGTCCTACAAAATGTTTGTTGGTATCTAAGTCAAACCAAGATCCAAAAAAATACCCCTGCAATGCCAGAAACATAAGTCAGAACCAGGAAGAAAAATAACATAGTTCTATCTTGATTTGAAAACACATGGAAAGATGTTTGGGAAACCCTGTCCGTTTCATCGTGGACAAAACCTTGTAGAAAACCCGGGCAGCATCTTCTTGTAAGAACCTTGAGCGCCTTCTCAATTTGCTGAACCTGAAGCAATGTTGAGGCTGACCCGCAAAAATTGAAACAATCATGTGTCATTCCTAAAGCAAAGCAAATCAAAAGGCAAACCACGACAAGGAACGGAGTGCATGGGAAACCAGCGCAGTATGCAGAAAGATCAGCGATTAGGGAAAAGTCTCGGTTTTCGAACATATCGTTCCAAAACCTGAAATCTGTTGTTTCAGATTTTAAACAAGGAATGGACAATAACAAACTTGAAGGGGCAAAAACAATGGGATAATCAACATAACCAATCACGAAAAACACAAATCCACTTTCAAATGCACATCATATACCAGTTAAATCATCTAAGAAACACCCTGGGGCGCAAGTTGTTCTTGATAAATTTCCTGGGGCCTTTGCCGCAATCACAACTGGAGATCAGGCGGCAATGGCGAGATCCACAAATCTTCTCGAGTCCAAACCAACCACCTTCAGCCCCAGAACCTCAGAAAAAATTGCACCCACATGCTGGAATCTAATCACTTTGGATGGCCATTCATGTGAAACGTGTTCAACTCGATTTTCTTCACAACCAAACATGATGCGAGCCAAAACTTGGGTAACATGTCAAAACTTGCAAACGAGAAACAGTCACTAACCAGCTTGACTGGAGTAGCCAGTGAATTGAAGAATCCCACCAAACCTGCACGTGGAACAGGTTTCCAATGTACAATGCAAAATTCTCCCACAAGCCCTGAAAAGCACTTGTGTGTCTCCAACCAAACTTAAAAAATACTTTACTTCGAGTTATCCCCACCATGACATCTATACGTTTTGTTATTGGCAAATCTTCTGGCATTCTATCTGACATATTTTCTGGCATTTTATCTGGCATTCTATCTGGCATATCTTCTGGCATTCTACCTGGCATATCTTCTGCAACATGTTCTGGCGTATCTTCTGGCACTCTATCTGGCATATCTTCTGGCATATCTTCTGACATTCTATCTAGCATTCTATCTGGCAAATCTTCTGGCATATCTTCTGGCAAACATTCTGGCATTTTATCTGACATACCTTCTGGCATTCTATCTGACATTCTATCTGGCATACCTTCTGGCATATCTTCTGGTATTTTATCTGGCATATCTTCTGGCATTCTATCTGGCATATCTTCTGGCATTCTACCTGGCATATCTTCTGGCATATGTTCTGGCATATCTTCTGGCACTCTATCTGGAATATCTTCTGGCATATCTTCTGGCATTCTATCTGGCAAATCTTCTGGCGTTCTATCTGGCAAGCATTCTGGCACTTTATCTGTCATACCTTCTGGCATTCTATCTGACATTCTATCTGGCATACCTTCTGGCATTCTATCTGGCATATCTTCTGGCATTCTATCTGGCAAACATTCTGGCACTTTATCTGGCATATCTTCTGGCATTCTTTCTGACATTCTATCTGGCCGCTGAGGTCCAGCGGTGCTCACTGAGCTCGGAGGGTCCCAGGTTGAGGTCCAGCGGTGCTTAGTGAGCTCGGACGGTCGCAGGTTGAGGTCCAGCGGTGCTCACTGAGCTCGGAAGGTCCCAGGTTGAGGTCCAGCGGTGCCCAGTGCGCTCAGACCCTTGCAGTTGAGGTCCAGCAGTGCCCACTGTGTGCGGCGAAGAGTTGGCAAGGCGGAAGTGAACAAGTGGAGGCAGAGGTGGTGGAGGAGAAGGAGGAGGAGAAGAAGGAGAAGAACACCGCTGATAAAATCTAACAACCCTCACCTGGCAGGTGGGGAACAAAAGGGACAACAACAAG